TTTTTAAAAAGTCAGACCTTTTCAGTCGCACAGGCTGTTTATGCTACAGAGGTGTCAAGATATGAAAGCCTTTTCATTGAATGATTTGCTGTAATTATCATGCATATGTACGTCACTCCATTGATGAAGCACAAAACAATGCAAAAGAAATATGGCAGGTCTCAACTCACCGTGTAAGTGATCACTGCCAACATGCCAATCAAGGTCAAGGAGCTGATGGAGAAAGAAAGAGCTGCCAAACCATCTGAAAGTGAAAAGGAAACTGAGAAATTTGGCCTAGGCCTTGGGGAAAAAAAACAAAAAAACATCAATACAGTAGACTCTTTGCTATATGTGGAAAAACTCAGGAGCATGTGATTTCTATAGTGCATTTTCCTTTCATTTTCATTTCAATAAAAATAGAAGTTGTTTCTGACCTCAAAAGTAAGGCTAGTTTAGATTATTATTTTGGAAGTGTTCTACTGCAGTTGGTAAAAATTATTATAATTAAATTAAGGAATATTAGAAATGTAATCATGCCTTAGGTTTGAAAACTGTAAATTTACCCAGTAAGCATGCTTAACAGGACATTTTTAATAAGACATGGGTATGTAAAAAGAGTACAACTAATATATATATATATATTTTCTCCAGAAGTATTGTGTTAAATCAAGGATGCTTTTGCTGTGTCTTAGAAAAATACTACAAACTAAAAGTCGGGATACTTTATTAATCTGTGTTTACAATTGCCATTGTTTCTAGACTTTGTCTTTTGATGAGCTCTCAAAACCATAGATTAGCAGTTTACATGTGCAATGGGAATAAATAATTTTAATGATAAGTTTAATGACTTCACATCTCTCTTTTAAGCTCCGCGTGGAAAACTTGGTAAGGAAACTGAAAGTTAAATTGGGTTTCTTTTTCAAAAATAGATCCGGTCTAACTCTGAATGCTAGGAAATGCCTTGTAACTGCGACTTTCCTTCCCTTCGTTGACTACAGTGACATTATTTACATTAACACCCCTACAAGTATCTTGCAGATGTTGGACACTGTCTATCATGGTGCACTAAGATTCATAATTGGCTGTAACTACAGTACCCACCATTGTGCCCAGTATTCACTGGTTAACTGGTCATCATTAACTTCACATAAACTCTCTCACTGGTACATGTTCATCTTTAAATCACTTCTTGGTCTGTTGCCTTCAAATATCTCCACTGCGTGAGTGCAGCTACATCGTGTGCTATCAGGACATTTATTACATGCAGTGTTCCCTCAGTGCAGACTGAACTAGGCAAAAGGGCCTTCTCCTACTCTGCTCCTGTTTCCTGGAATATCTTGCAAAAAGATCTGAAGCTCTCGACCTTGACCTCTAAGTGGCTTCAAACATCTGCTAAGTTCATGGCAAAAACCACATGTTCCTGGTTTTAGTATTCTACATCGCTTTACAACCCATTCGTTTTTGTTTCACATTTTTATATAATTTTCTTTTATTTGTTCTTCTCAATTTGAATGCTTTTTATAATTGTCTACTGTTGTCTTTGTTGTCTACTGTTGTCATCACTCTTACAATCAGGTCTCTCTTGTAAATGAGTCCCCGAGGCTCAATGGAATTAACCTGTCTAAATAAAGGTTGAATGAACAGCTCATTAACAACAGCAAGACAGCAATGCTGTACTAGTTCTGGAAATTAATTTATTGGACATAAAATGAGAATGTGTTAGTTTTCTTTTAAACGCAAACACATTATGTTAGTAATTAGACATCCTTAGATTCAATACTCCAAACAATAAAAGTGTTCTTTTATTGTATGCGAGTTGAATTGTGTAACCTTTGATGCAGAAAGAGGGCCACCTATGAGGAAAACAACAGTGGGGGTCTCACCAGCTGCCACAGATAAAGGTAGAAGACAGGGATTGATGAGGAGACTGATTGCCTCACTCCCCTGTCAAGATCCCACCTGTCATAGAGTTCTAAATAAAAAAGCAACACATTTGTCCTTTTATAAATATCCCACATCCTCTCAACAGCAACATTATAAAGCCCAGACCACCTGTTAGCCTGGTCACAGGTGGGTCTCTCCTTGTCTTTCACCTTGACAATGGCATATCTTTAGGAATATTAAGTCACTATTCAGGGCGTACATAATTCAGGCTGTTTATATCATTATTCACTTAGTTTAAAACCGTTTCACATGCAGCAAGATAAAGATATGGAAAATTGAGATATGTGCTCTATGTGGAAAGACAACTTTGAAGTCTGCATTTGAATACCTGTTTCATATTCCTGAGCTTTTCATTGTGATTTTACTGCCTTTGTTTAGAAGTGAGCTTGGTGAAACAGACAATAGCCTTATGTTCTGCATAGAGAACATTCTGTTCGTGGACTCAACACAAAGCGAAGGATGGATGTTTGCTGCCAGTCGTCGTTTCTTGAGAAGATTTTCCGGGGATTAAACATAGAGAATATTGTACAATATCAGTGGTGTTTCCACATCTGCACGTCAATTCAAAAACCAATGGAATGAGGTAGCCCTTATCTCATGCTGCATATAACCCTTAAGGCTTGTGTTCCTGTATGGCTTATGCAAAAAGGTGTTATTTGAGAAGGCTTTTTAGCTTTGGCACCCTCTTTCAGTGGAATGACAGAATCATCGAAAGCAATCAGAGAGCAGCTGCATCTTGAAACACCAACAATATAACCTCCTGTTTGTGACGAGCTTTACTAAGATGAAGTAATAAATGAGAAAATCTCTCCATTTTAAAGGCCCACAAGCATTTGGACATACAAAAAATTGTATTAATGCAATAGCATAATGTACACTAATCAAAATTATTGAACAGAAAGATTAACGGGTGGTTTCTGGCTAAAATTCAAAATAATTAAAAGTGTCTGACCAGTCCTTTAAGCTGATCAAGTAGAACAAACTGGCCTTTGTAAAAATAAGGGTTCTACTTTTGAGCCCCATAGATTGTGAATTGGTGTGTCTGTAAATTGGGCCGACTCCCAGCTTTACCCAGGACACTGCATCGTAACAAGACAAGCAATGGACTATTTTTAAAATCATAATTACTTATTTATATATGTATCCAATCGTCGATCTATTTTTCTGTGGTTTCATTTTCATAGTTTGGTATGACGTGCATATTTCCAGTCAGTAAATGTCTGAGGGCTTATAGGTAAATACCTTCCAAAATGTTTGTTTGCTCATATTCAAAACTACGCTCACACATATATGCAAGCGCAATATTGTTTGTTTTCTTGTGTTCAAAAAGGAAAAAAAGTAGGAAAAATAAACTATTATAAATCTGTTCAAATACTCTATATACGTAGTAGCTAACGCTTTACAACCTCAAGGCATAACAAAACAGTGCAGAGCACTACAGGATCTTGGATAATACAGTTACAAGCTTCAGTCTGCACTATATCTGGGCAAAACTATTTTAACTGTCTAATGTTTATTGTTGATATGTGCTGCTGACTATCCATGCTGCTGATCTCATGCTGCTGATTTATTTCATGCTGCTGTGTTCATTCGTACTCATTTGCTCACACAGACTCATGTTCGGGCTGCTGTAGTTTGGTGTATTGTTTTGCACTATTAAGTGTTTAGTGTCTTCTTAGCTTAGCGTATTTCTTCTTAGTTCATATCTTAGATCTTATTACAGTTTTTCTTTTACAATTTATACTTTTGTTGGATGTAACTGGGACCCTGTGTACAAAATTTTGTTCCACGACATGCATCACATGCAGTGTGAATGACAATAAAGAAACCTTGACCTTGATCTATATGACAAAAAATATGCAGTACTCATTTAACAGTTGTTGAAAAAAATAAAAATAGTCAAGCATGTTTTGTGGCAAAAGGTGTCTTCCTCACACATCTAACCAGGTTGTCAGGTCCTCTGGATGAATTAGTCTTTGTTGAAACATTTTCTTTTACCCAAAAGACTTCTTCAGTTTGTGGAGATGCAACAAACTGTCTTATAAATAGCATCTTCTCATAATGGATCAACCTGTCTGCTGGTGACAGCCAAGACTAGTTGTTCACATGCGGTGGACCATCAGCCTAACAACTGATCGTTAGTGCCCTGATGGGTGCTTGCTATTCACAGAGGGCTGAGTTATGCTAGCAAGAAGAGTATTGTAAAAGATGAACAACTGTGCACGGAGGTCTTCGCCATGTTCTACAACAAGCAGGTTCTCTTCACAAAGATGGCTTCTTTTACTCCTCTATCAAACCACTGTTTCTATCTATCAAGGATGTGAACATCTTCATCCCTAAAAGAGTGACCCCTGGCCTGGAGATGAGTGTAAACCCCAGAGTCCTGGCCTGATGATGTTGCTCTTCTGTGCTGGGCCATCGTTTTGGCCACCGGCTGCTTTATTTTCCCGATTGTATAACTGATGCAAAGGGGATGATCTTCACATTTTCTCAGCAGAATAACTTCTTGTGGTAAAAGAGGATGGTTAGTGAGAGTATTTAGGGGTTAAACACAGTGACAGATGGTTCAACTTCCTTCTTGATCCACAAATGGCAAAAGGCCAAACAACTGCAAGGGGTCTACAGTTGGCTATGTTCCTGCATAGCATGAGCATAATTACTTTCATTGTTTTGCTAAATAAGTGAAGATACTCAAACAGGGTTTCTCTGCAGTAAAGCACTTCATCTAATTTGACAAAAAAGGTGATTTATCAAAGTGTTTTTTGCCATCAATTAAAAAAAAATAAATCACTGTTACTGTTAAAGAGGACATAACAAATATATTGACGGAAACGCAAACACATTTGTAAAAATGTACATTTGATATTTGAAATGCTGATTTTTAGACTGGAAGCAGCCCATCTTACTATTTACTACCGTATGCGACTTAACATAACATTGTACAGGTCCTTCTAAAAAAAATTAGCATATTGTGATAAAGGTCATTATTTTCCATAATGTAATGATAAAAATTAAACTTTCATATATTTCAGATTCATTGCACACCAACAGAAATATTTCAGGTCTTTAATTGTTTTAATACTGATGATTATGGCATACAGCTCATGAAAACCCAAAATGCCTGTCCCAAAAAATTAGCATATTTAATCCCACCAATGAAAGACAAGTGTTTTTAATACAAAAAACGCCAACCTTCAAATAATCATGTTCAGTTATGCACTCAATACTTGGTCGGGAATCCTTTTGCATGAATGACTGCTTCAATGCGGCGTGGCATGGAGGCAATCAGCCTGTGGCACTGCTGAGGTGTTATGGAGGTCCAGGATGCTTCGATAGCGGCCTTAAGCTCATCCAGAGTGTTGGGTCTTGCGTCTCTCAACTTTCTCTTCACAATATCCCACAGGTTCTCTATGGGGTTCAGGTCAGGAGAGTTGGCAGGCCAATTGAGCACAGTAATACCATGGTCAGTAAACCATTTACCAGTGGTTTTGGCACTGTGAGCAGGTGCCAGGTCGTGCTGAAAAATGAAATCTTCATCTCCATAAAGCTTTTCAGCAGATGGAAGCATGAAGTGCTCCAAAATCTCCTGATAGCTAGCTGCATTGACTCTGCCCTTGATAAACACAGTGGACCAACACCAGCAGCTGACATGGCACCCCAGTGACTGTGGAAACTTGACACTGGACCTCAAGCAATGTGAATTATGTGTCTCCTCTCTTCCTCCAGACTCTGGGACCTTGATTTCCAAAGGAAATGCAAAATTTACTGTAATCAGAGAACATAACTTTGGACCACTCAGCAGCAGTCCCAGGCGAGATGCTTCTGCCGCAGTCTCTTGTTCAAAAGTGGCTTGACCTGGGGAATGCGGCACCTGTAGCCCATTTCCTGCACACGCCTGTGCACGGTGGCTCTGGATGTTTCTACTCCAGACTCAGTCCACTGCTTCCGCAGGTCCCCCAAGGTCTGGAATTGGCCCTTCTCCACAATCCTCCTCAGGGTCCGGTCACCTCTTCTCGTTGTGCAGCGTTTTCTGCCACACTTTTCCCTTCCCACAGACTTCCCACTGAGGTGCCTTGATACAGCACTCTGGGAACAGCCTATTCGTTCAGCAATTTCTTTCTGTGTCTTACCCTCTTGCTTGAGGGTGTCAATGATGGCCTTCTGGACAGCAGTCAGGTCGGCAGTCTTACCCATGATTGTGGTTTTGAGTAATGAACAAGGCTGGGAGTTTTTAAAAGCCTCAGGAATCTTTTGCAGGTGTTTAGAGTTACGTCGTTGATTCAGATGGTTAGGTTAATAGCTTGTTTAGAGAACCTTTTCATGATATTCTCATTTTTTGGGACAGGCATTTTGGGTTTTCATGAGCTGTATGCCATAATCTTCAGTATTAAAACAATTAAAGACCTGAAATATTTCAGTTGGTGTGCAATGAATCTGAAATATATGAAAGTTTCATTTTTATCATTACATTATGGAAAATAATGACCTTTATCACAATATGCTAATTTTTTTAGAAGGACCTGTATGTGTATATCATAATGCCAATGAAGGTGCACGCCAAATTAGCAAGTTTACTTCGGATGCTCCCGTCTTCAGGGGTGACTACAGTGAGCAAACTCTCATGAAAGATTTGGCTTTTTTTTTTTTTTTTTAAACACAGGATGCCCATCCTGATGCAACCTGGGCTTGAACCTGCAACCTCAGGATTACAAGACCGCGGCACTGTCCACCGAGCTACCGTAGCCCCCCTCACCAAAAAGTATAGTCTTAATTCTGCTTAAATCATAGCCACACCACTAAATAAAATCAAATGGATTTTATTTGCATGTGTTTTCCAGATAATTTTTTAGAACTTGTTATATGCAGTTTGATTTTTGTCAAAATTTGAGAGTTTGACAAACTAATGCAATGGAGGCAGTGTTCACAGCTCCAGTCATCTTAAAAACATGTTTTCTAAAAATAAACATTTAGTTTTAATAGCAAGATTTAGGCAAAATACTCTATATAAAAATGATAAATACACAAATCATGTCTTCATTAAAAACACTTGTTCAACTGTCATTTTCCAAAAAAGTAAATCAACAGTAATGGTGCAAGTAGAGAGAAATAAAGAAGAAACAAGTGTAAATGTTACATAAAGTAATCAATAGCATTCAATAAGTTTAGAGGGACTGAGTTTGTCTTACAGAATGTTAGTCACTAATTTATACTAAATGCAACATTTAATCTATAGACTATTATTCATTCCATTTTTAGAAGGCCAACATGATGTATTGTGGTTAGTCATAATGTAGTAATGAGCTCCTGGAATGGTTTCACTTTAAATAATTAAAAACCACAGGCAGTCATATGTCTTTTTATTCATCACATTTGTGACTGATATGTCAGCTTGTAAGCACACTGCACTGCACTTCTCCACATCTTGAACAAGTGGTGAAAATAAATACTAGTTAATACAAATTTTAGAAAAGAAAATCAGAAATAAAAACTTAAGAATAAAGCTAATATTCTGAATAAGGACAGCAGGTCAATTTATACCTAACTATATGATACCTATGACTCTTTGGGATTGATTGCCATGTTGTAATACTACTGTAGATAGTTTTAAAGCATTTTGATGAGTTTTAATAACTTTGTTTATTAGAGGTACAGTGTGTATTTTTTTTCTTACTGCATTACAATACAAAATAAGATTCATAATGGTACAGAATCAACACATTGAGGCTGATCATTTTGGAAACAACAAAAAAATAACCTGCCACTAGTACATCTGATACAACTAGTGATTTTTTTTTTTAAAGAGTCATAAATAAAATACATTTGTTAGCGTATGGTAAGAACACCAGTAAAAGTGAAAAGTAGGTCACAAAGCAGCTGTACTTACGACTACTGCCAAGCTCCTCAAAAAGGTACTGCACCTTCTCCCACTGAGTGGAATTCTGATTAGTTGGAGCCTGAATAGGAATAAATACACTGAAAAGAAATCAAAACATAATAAATTAGACAAAATTAATCTGGTTTATTCTAGATATGCTCTTATATATATGGGGGGGGGGACCATGATTGGATAGATGGATGGATAGACAGACAGACTCCACGATCGGATATAACAAAAACAAATTTGAATCAGGTTCTTCATTAACAAAGCATTTTAAAAATACAATTATTTAAACATCTACACGTAATTGTTAAAAAAAAGTTGAAATTTTGATTTGGCATGCCACAACCTGTTTACATGCCTACAACTGTTAGTAGAGTTGTATTCGGGCCCTAAAAATCCAACCCGACCCCAGCCCCAGCCCATAGCCATCATTTCTGAACCCCACCCGACCCGACGAATTAACAGTAATTACAGGTCCGACCCCCCCACCCACCACCACCACCAAAGAAACAACATTTTTAATTAAGCTTTGACTGCTTATATAGTGATCAACAGTCATCGGACGTGGGTGGCTAAGGGGGCAGAAGATCGAAGCTGAGGGGGTGTTTGTCCTTTCATGGCTGTCTAAGCACATTAAATGCCTGTTTCTGCCTGCATTCTGCATTATTCAGACAGAGACCCTGCTCTGACATGTCAGATATTTTGGGATCTCACCTGTTTGGGTTGTCGGCCGTGCACGTCCGCCGAGTGCAGCGGTTGAATGAACGTCCATTTGGGCGATGGATCGCTGCCTGGCAGTACAGTCCCATCTGAAGCTTAACTAAACTTTTACTTTTTCAAGGCCGGTCAGCGCACAGTCAAATGGCCGTGTGAGGCTGGCGATTGTATGGCAAGCCATGTTGCCATATAATTGGATCATCAGCCACGCGCATCTGCTGACGCAATCAAAAGCCCGACACTGGCCTGGCCCGCACATTATTATGGCCAGGCCCTAATCTGGGTCGGGCCAGGCTGGGCTCCAGGTTAGAAATGACAGCTGCAACTCACAATTTTTTTTGTAATTTTTTTATCCTAGTCTTTTTAGGAAAGCTATATTGTCAAAAAAAAGCAACTGTAATTTGTAAGATTTGATTGTTGTCTGAAAAAAAAAATAATAATAATTGCTTGATTGTTCTTCAAAAATAAAAATAAAAAATAAATGAATAGAACAATAAATGAACAGTACTACATAGTAAGTGACTGGGGTTGTTTTTTTCTCAAGTTGTCTTGCCTTGTAACATTAATCACATACTAGCTGACTGGACAAACATAAAACAAAGTCAATTATGTCTCCTGGTATCAGTGAAGCAGTCCAAAATAAAAAGTATCACTGTCAAAATTTAAAGGATCAAAGAAAAAAGTGATATAATAAAACAGCTACAGTTACAGTTCATGAGTTAAAAGAGTAGCTATACGTCTATAAAAACGTCCTCTAAACTTTATGGTGTAAGACATTACAGTCGTGTGTTTCTTATTGTTTTAAGCCAGATAAGCTTTCTTTCAGAGCCCCATTTAATGGTTGAGAGAGCACATTCAGTCGCTCCGGCTGGACTCCAGGTATGTTGCTATCGCTGCTGCAAAGGAAATCTGTTATAGGTGCCTGGTGCTACTGAACACAAGCAGTGTAAAATCTGCAGATAAATAAAATATGACTTAAATTGTGCCTCAGTACATGTATCTGTTGATACAATATAAATGTGCTTTGTGTACAACAATTCACTGAACTGTGTTTAGACTCGCATGAACAAACAGAAACCTATTTTTAGACAGAGGTGTTGGTTCTTTTTCCTCTTAAATAGTTAACTGCAACCTGACAAATGACGCTGCAGATGTGTTGCCCCCCCCAGAACAGAAGTGATCCTTGTGTCCAACTCACCCAATTAAAAGGAGCACCACGCAGAAAATGACGAATCCAACTGTGTATTTCAGGGCGTTTTTCACTTGCTATAAGAAAGGAAAGAAATGAAACTGGTCAATTATGGCCATAAGTGAAAATGTATTATTCATTGTGAGTGAGTTAAAGGTTCATTCTCCATTTAGATAAGGCCTATAGTAAGTGAGCGCAACATTGAATAAGTGTAGATCCAGTCTGACTTTGCAGAGATAATGTGTCACATCCGGCGCCATTCAAGGGTCTTTTAAAGTAACAATATAAAAGGCTGCACTATCTGTAAAAGAAAGTGCCTCCGTCAGCTCAAAACTGGCACATGGCAAGGAGAAAGGCACATTGCTATGACACATTAATTACTCAGTCATATAGTCACTCACTGGAACTTCTAAATCTTTTTTTTTTTTATATATATATATTAACATTTTGTCACGACTGAAGAAATGATATTTCTGAATGGTATTATAGTATGAATGCAGTGGCACAAAGGCAGGACAATGGAATTATGTACATTACCAAAAACAAACTAATCATTTGTTTTTATCCAGTTGCCTTACATAAAATATGCTCTCCAACAGTGGGTGTGTTGTTCACATCCAAGCTGTTAAAAACATCTAGACTGTTTTCCTCACATTAAATCACAACCTCACAATGCTCTTCTTTTTTGTTCTTCTGTTTTTGTACTCTGTGTTCCTTTGCAAATATAAATTTTCCATGCGAATGTGTTGGAGAAATGTCGGTCAAAGATTAAGGGTGTTTTAATTTATTATGGCTGAGAACATTATTCCCCTCTGCCCTGAGAACAAGAAGCGAAACCATCTCCCAAAACACTACCTGTGCCCATGAACCATATGTTTGTGTAAACCGAGTGCTGTGTAAGAAGACTGCAGCTGGATAGCCTGTCCTGAAATAAGACCTTGCATGTAAAAATACCAGTTAAAAACTTTGACCTGCTGTAAGAGTGGTTCTTTTGAATATACAATGTCAGAGAAGGAGAAAATTTATCCAACAGAATGTATATTCATAAATCAAAAATGCAGAGTACAAAACACTGCACCATGAGTGATCAAAGGGTCTATATTGGTATACGCGGTATACGTATCTTTAATTTCTATTTAAGAACCAGTGTAGTGTGGCTACTATTTAGGAAACCAAAAGACGAAAACAGAAAGATAAAGAGTATTTTACTTTTAAAGTGTTTTATATATTTGTACCTAAGGCTGGACAATAATATTGAAATATATTACAATTTACTTTTATTCAGTAACGGTGATATTAATTTTAAGCACATTCTTGATATTTCGATATACATTACGCTATGATTACAGTGTTTCACTGACATTTCTTTTTCTGTTGGAGATGAAGTGGCCGCTTCAACCCCAACAGAAAAAGTCGTGACACACAACTACGTCTTGTTCTAGAATTGCGCCGCTCGGGGTGGCTGCATGTTGGAGTAGCTCTGTAACTTTCATTTTGTGTTATTGCTTTTGAAAACTAATTCCTCTTTTTTTCTGGATGTAAATCACTTTTTCCGGATGATTACTTCCTCTGGTATTGGATGCTGTGCAGCTGGAAGGATTTTTATAGAAACTTTTTTACTTTTGGACATTTGTTATGATGCGTAACCATGGCGACAAGGTGTTTTTTAACAACCAGCTGATTAAACTCTCAAAAGCTCAAATACATCAGCTACAGCCCCAAATGAGTTGAAAAGGAGGCACCTTGGTTGAATTTCCATCAACCTGGCGGCTGTGCTCAAGTACCTGACCACCAAGATCATGGAGCAGGTGGGAAACTCAGCTTTTGACAACGGGAGGACCAGGATCATCCCCCGACACCGTAAGCTGTCTGTGGTGACGAGAAGCTCGGCAGACTGCTGGGAGGAGTGACCATCGCTCATGGAGGAATTCTACCCAGCAGTCGGACAGTCCTGCTACCCAGGAGGACCGAGAGACCCACCAGATCTGACAGCAAGCTGGATCCAGGTGGATGGATCAGTATCTGTGGCCAGATTCTTTGAATTCTTTGCAGGAGATCCTTCCTGCCCACAGATCAGCATCTATAACAACTCTTGAATGAAACCAAGATGATGAGCTACGACAACACTTAATTTCCCTCTGGGATTAATAAAGTAATTTTGAATTGAATTGAATTGTAAGTGCATGGTGACGTACACCGCAGACGGAGCTCGAGTCCAGAAGGAGTCAGCGGTAGCAGGCTAGGCCAGGCTAAGCTCCAACGCACGTTAAGCTTTTGCTTCAAAATGAGTGCCCATGACCATCAGAATGTGAGTGAACAAACTTTCACAAGCGAAGAGAAAGCAGACGACATAATTGTTGAGAGGAAAGACTAATTAGGCGGTGTGGAAGTGGTTCGACTATCTAAGATCGGATAAACTGCAGGTTTCAGTCAGTGTGCTGCAAAATGTGACGGAGAGTCGTTCCAGCTAGTGGTGGGAACACATCGAACTTGTTCCACTCGATACAAAATGTTGAGTCACAAGATGAAGCACAATAAAAGTTTGAGCCACCGTGTCCCTGAAACAACAGCCCCAGCTGTATCAGAAGAGAAACCCATGCAGCAAACTGTTATGTTGTTGTTTAAAGTTAAAACTAATAATAATGACAAAGTTGAGAGTTTTATATTTATTTGACAGTGATTTTACATATCTTTGAAGGCTAAATACAAATAAAAGGTGAACATTAATTTATTTGTACAGTTTGTAAAAGTTTTCTGAGGCTTTTATATTGTTTATATAGATATCGAATTATATCGTTATCGACCGAAATTAAGAAATATATTGTGATAAAAGTTTTGGCCATATTGTCCCGCCCTACTTGTACCAAAGTTAGTGGCAGAAAAAAAAAAAACATTTCACTTTCACCTAATGACATTGTTAGCAAATGTACATGTCACAAACACATTAAAACTAAATTATATAACATATTAGCTCTTAAAAAGTGAAAATAAATCTGCATTAGACTGAATACATTGTGGAGTTACTTTCTAAGAAATGGGGGGAACCTCAAGATTCAGGTAAGAAAAAAAAAAAAATGAAAAGGATAAACACTGTTTTTCATGTCAAAACTGAAGATACATTTATTCACAGTGCTTGAAACTTTCTGGAAAGTTTCAAGTGAATTTGTAATGTTTCTGCATTTACATGCATTTAGATGTAGCTGCAGAATGTGAGTGAATAAAATGTGGGCTCCTCAGAACCACAAGAAGTAAGCTACAGCTGCACGCAGGAGAAAAAAGAAGAAAAATGTGTTTTACCGAGCACTTGCTTGTGTTGTCGTCATCCTTTTCTTCGTAGTAGAAGTAAACAAAGGGGATCCATAAGAAGACACAGAACAGTATGATGGAGTAAAGAGCTAAATGGAAAAAAAACATGGAAAGAATTAAAAATCATCATTTGGTTCTTTACAGTGTAGACTACATACTTCCTATATTGTGACACTAAAATGGTAAAAACAGCTCATTGGTTAGTTTGACTGTAAAGCTTCCTTTCACAAAAAAAAAAAAAAAAAAAAAAAAAAAAAAATTGTTTATTTATATTTGGAGGTAATTCCCTTCTTGTTCACACACTGTAAAGTCTATGTCTGGATATAAATAAAAACTGTGCTTTAATTTCAACTTCTACTTTTAGTTCGAATTGAATTGTGTTAAAACGCATTCAGAATAAAATGAATTTGACTAAACCAGTGATTCGCAAAGTTTGTTGCTTTTGTGTTTTTTTTTTCCTTTGGAGAAAGAAAATTATCTGCTAAAGAGGGAAAGGGAATACAACATTTTATGCCTGTGTGATGCTATTAGACAATGTATGGCACTTTTATAATACTTATTTAAAAAGTGTGTTTTCTCTGTGATTTGAAAATACAAATAATAGTTTGAAAGAGCTGCATCCCCACAGTTATTGAAGTTTTGTATATTTGAATCTGAAAAAGTAAAGTGAAATATATCATCCAGTCTCAAATGTTATGATTATTTTTCCTTTAAGCATATAACAATATCACCTCTGTCTCAGTGTTGACCTGCAGCAACAAGAACAACCAAAAGTTGTGACTTACAACATAAGATTTATGCAATATATCCAAAAAGCATATTAATGTGCTATTTTAAGCTAGTGGCATTTTTGTTTGTACAAAAGTGAATCAAATGGATTTAAATGAATACCATCTTAAAATAATTCAATGAAAAGCGTTTTACAAAGGCAATCCCAGCAACTTAGATGGAGTTGCTCAACACCCTGAGGTTATCGTGTAAATCACTAGAACAGCCAACAAATAAAACAGAAAAATGTAGCAAAACAGGTTAATGAGACTTTTTGAGTTTCAGTTTCACATTTTTATACATTTTAATAAACCTTTTATTTGATAGTATTTTTTTTTCCCCACTTATGATTTCCACTTTGCCTTAAGGTCAGTTAACTGAAGTAAATTCAAAACACCAGTTCAAACAATTAATGAGTAACATCATCAGGTCCCTGTAAACAGCTGATGTGACTGTTAAAGAAAAAAACAGACAAAACAAGGAAATTTAAGTTCACATGATAAATTTGTAACACCAGTAGCACATTTCAACTTTAAAGTCCATGTGGAAAACAATTCAATATTAATAATACAGCATACACTCCAGCATGTAGAAACGTATATCCACAAAATAAAAAAAAAATAAAGGGTTTTCTCTGCTGCAACAAAATAAATGTTGCTGTTGCAGAAGATTTTTTTGTTCCAGAGCTGTGATTGTGACAGGGCATTGATTTCAACATGCACATGTTCATTGCTACACCCATGCATCCATTTACACTCAATTACAGCTGGACAAACTGAGTTTAGAATGACGTCAGCAGCCAATAAGCACAAGCAATTCACACTATGCAGCCAATGGCATATTCCTGCTGGTTAAAACTAATCATAGCTCCATGAATATTAACAATCGGAGAGAATAGGTCATTTTGCATTACCATGAATCAGTCATTACTCCATATGCAGATCATCTACTAGGAAGAACAATTGATCACGATGAAATGTTTAGCATATTATTCCAGTGACAGAGTAAGGGGGCTAAGTAAATAAATATCCTTAACCCTTCATACAGCTTTGTGTTCATGTGTTGTATGCACAAAAAACTATTCACCCATTTATATTTCTAATATTGTAAAATTTTAAGCCTTAATGAGTAAAGTTAAGTTTTGACCCTACTGTCTGCAGAGATATTTGCAAATAGGTGCTTGTTCTTTTGTTACATAATAATTATTTAGTCTTTTCCGTGCATCAGCTCTCAAGCTTGGCCTGATGTACCTTTGCAGTGCATTGATGTCATTTATGAATAGGAAGAGTGGCTCAAGTTAATCCACTACCAAAATGCTCCTGAGCCAGCCCCCTTCAGCAAACCACACAAACCAGTGGTGCAGTTATACATAGTTCATTGTCTTGGCTTCTTGTTTCGAAGCATATTCTAACATGGTACTTTAGCACATGTATTTGGTCTGAAGGATACAACATAAGGTTACCAGAGGGCAATAGTGTCACTAGGGTGCACTACCAAAATGTGACCTCACTCATCTAAACCTGCCCTCAAAAATAAAATAGGAATTTGCCACTTTTCAAAAATCCTCCTAAAAAACAACACAAGGCAAGTAATTTCCATTTAAACTCAACCTGTGCATGCCAACAGAATACGGAAAACAAGAAAGGTATTGTAGTGCGCACGAGGACCGCTTCCTCTTTTGCTTCTCTTTTACAAACGGTATTAAAAAAAGGCCGGAAGAAAGCCAATGATTTATTTAGAAAGCCATGAGTATTTTGCTCTGCTGCTCAAGGGTCTTATGCACCACTGCTTTGAAGTACTGAACAGTCCAAGGAAACGTACAAATGGGACAAACCTTTCAAACTTAGCTTTCACTCTCATCAAGAACACAAAAATGTCATATAAAAAGTAGATGTTTCTACTATGGATACTCTTTACAAACTGAATAGGGCCTGGATTAGATATTGTTCTAATATGATAATTAGAAAGTTGTAAATGTTTTATTTATGAATTCATTTTGAAGAGGACTGGTTTTATTATCTATACACAAAAAGGCACTGAAGATCCTGCTTAAAACGCCAAATGTGACGCAGTCCAATATATCTTAAAATATGTGATTGTGTTCATTCTCATTGAAATACTATTATTTTCATAAATAAGACTGGTTGAGTAACAAATCTCAACATTTTAGAAACACAGATCCATAAATGCCTTGTTGAATTTTTACTACTGACCTCTCTCGCTAAAAAGGCTTCTTTTTTTTTTTTTTTTTAAAGGAAATTCAAAACAAAAGTATAATTGAGGCATTCTGGTCACATCGCTACATAAAAAGTAACAAATAATAATGATTTAAAAAAATATATAAAAATCCTAATCTTGTACTATGTATTTACAGGTGCAAAACCTACGAAAAAGAAAAAAGATCAGGAAACTGCTGTCAACTCAAGATCTGTGTGTGCTAATAACCCTCGTAACTTCTTAGAAGCTTTTAATAAAAATAGTGCCAAACCTCTTGAATGCTATGGATGTTCATCATGACGTAGCAAAATATGTGTACACATGGAGAAACAAGTAGAGAAAAATATGTCAATGTACAAACTCTGCAGTTTTGTTGTAAAATTGTCATGTTCATTTGTACACTGTGGATCAAAATAAGTATTATCTATTCTTCAGTGAGATAAGAGTAATCTTTCAAAACATTAATGGTAAAGCCCAAAACGTCTGTGTGTGTGGGGGGGGGGGGGGGGGAACAAAAAGAGTAATCTGAACCTGCTCTCCACAGCTTCATTGTTCATCATTAGAAAAGTAAGCCTACAAAACTCAAGTTACGTATCGGTCTCTTTTTATTTTGTTTGTTTTGTTGCAAACTCAAACAAAATTAAGTAATTTTTTTTACATTACAATTATGAAAAGACTGTTTATATGACAGCAGAACAAATAATTTAAACCTGCTGTAAAAATGGTCTAAAACATATAGCCATAAATTTTGTGCATTTATACTCTCTTACACTGAACTGCTAAAAAATGACTGTATGACAAGCACATAAAAACATAATCAAGCAAATAATACCCAAAAGTCCTCATAATCACTGAATTAGAGAACACAGCTACTTTGTACAAATCAGTCAATGCTGGACAAAAACACTCTTCACAAAAGCAGATATGAATCTCTATATCAGCCCTGTAATTATTTTGTTTGTGATGTGCAAATGGAGAGTTATGAGCCCTGAAGGATTGGATTTGTAAGAAACCTGTGCATCCATTGACATGGAGCTTGGTCTCCACCTACTGGCAAATAATAAAGTGATGACACCAAATCCAGAACTGAACAGAAACGGCATTTGTCCAGTTTTAAATGCACATCAAATACTGTAGCAAAGAAAAATATCTTGCCCAATTTATTAAGTTTATTTGTTACTTTACAAAGTAGAATTTTGCTCCAATCTAACTCATCTTCACAGACACTTGTCAAGGATTCCTCTTGAAAAAAGCACATACTCTTGGTTGACTTGTAAAAGGTGGTGGTAAAGGGGACAACAAAACGTAAGTAATGTGAACTCAAAAAGAAGTCAAAATAACACAAAAATCGGTCACTACTACTGCTGCTGCTACAGAAATTGAGACAGGAAAGCATTTTAAATATTTACATGTGTGCTGTAATTTACCATTACAGACAGGTTCTGAGGTAAACAGCACAGAATCAATCAAAACTGCAAAGCTGCACTTTATGTATTTTGGCCCATCCAAGCATCTTCCTGTATCAACAGCCAAAAAGTTGCAAGCTCGGTAAATCTGCCAGAAGATGATTCTGCACCATGCACGTGCCAAAAGATGACTACATATTCACATGCTTGAAGCAAGTAGCTTTTTTTTTTTTAAGATTCTCTCTTAACCCTGGTTGTAGCATTCTGCAAATGTACTATTTACAGAAAGAAAAAAAATGTCTCTTCATTGGATCCAATGAAAAAAATGTCTCATAAGGACAGCTGTGAAGGTCTTCAATAAAATAATAAGAGTGGTTTGAACGTTTGTGAACCCTTAAGAGTATCCATATTTCTGTAAATGTTATCCTAAAATCATGGTATAAACCGTGTTTGATGGATATATTTTATCTCCTAAACTTGGCCCACGTAGGCTGGTACTATGTGGCTAACTTTTGGGGTGGTAAACTGTTGTTTAAGTTATAAGTACCTTTGGTCACAAGATGAGATTTGCTATGTCTAAAAAGGGGAAAGGTAACATTTTAGCATCTACAAACACCAGTAATGTTGATTAATGTTACTGTTCAGTGAGTACAGTGGTGCTTGAATGTTTGTGAAGCCTTTATAATTTTCTATATTTC